ATCGTATTGAATGAGCTCTAGGATATGCATACTTCAAGTATTTTGCCTATTGTAACCTTAATATCAACATAGAACTTCATCATAATCATTCTGTCTCCTCCACAAGTATTATTATCACAGTCTTCTTGGAAATCAGAAAAACAAAAGCAACTCCAGTGACAACATTCATGAAAATTAGCCTTTTTTTATTTAACCCAGTCGATCAATAATTTCCTAACTAGCTCAGATTGTCCCAACAACATGGTAATTATGTTCCTGAAACACTGACACTCCTCTGTTCATTCATGTACAGCATGCTCAGTGAATACATACAAAGTCATTCATCTGCTTCATGTAGCGTTGTTGAGCCCTGGACACACCGGACGCGTAGTGCCGCGGAAGTCCTGCGAGTGTACTCACAGGCGCTTGACTGTCCACACAGGCAGCGCATTTCTCCTGCGCTCTCCGCGCCTGTTAAACATCGACTCCACTCGTCTGTTCCTCGTTTTTTCATTTCAACAGGTCATTTTAAACATGGGTAAGTCCATATTTTAATCGTTTTTTATAACGTAATAAGTTAATTACAATTTGTCATTGCATGTCCATGTATTGATCGTGTTGGATAAACACTGAATGAATAGGGCATATTGTTCTGACCATTTTATTTATGTAGTTATGTCTGTAGGCTCGGTGACACAAAATTAAAATTGTAATGAAGTGATCAGGGTATTGAAAATGTGTTCGGTTATACACTGTTGTGTTATTTTAAATTGGTATTTTCTCCTCACGTTCCTCAGTGCGTGCTGTTATTTTATTTTGAAAATTGGCCGGATTCTCCCGTCTTTTCAGTGCCCGACTTCCTGTTTGGTACGATCCGCTCTATCCAGCTTTACAGAAGCGCTCGCGGCCCGCGTGAAAAATAGACCAGACGCCGAACTGAAGCGCTGCCTCCGCGGGCGCTCCGCTCTGCTCAGCGGCCTGTGTGGACAGTCAGATAGGTTAACATGGGCGCTGATTGAAAACTGCCTCCGCTGCTGGGCGCTGCGCTTCGGTTCCGCGTCCGGTGTGTCCAGAATGGCACGGGTGTGTATGCCTGTTCATCTTTTCGTTCATGTCCTTATTAATGCACAATTTATAACTTGCTTGTTGGATTTATTAAAAACGAACGAATGAAAACTAAATATCTTTGAATATCTTAAAGGAAAATTAAAATGACCGGTAAAAATAGATTATGACCGGATTTTTATGACCCTGTCGGTCAAAATGACCGGCGACGAAAAAGTCTAGCACAACGTCTGGCCATGGGCTGTTTGACACAGACCTTCACAGGCAGGCCTAATATCTTCAGTGGGGATTCATTCCATGTGCCAAAGTGTGGGAACACCCTCTCAGTGAATGTGTGTGTGAAGGTGTGTATGTGTGTGTTAGTATCAAGATCAGAGAATGACAGTTTCCCTTTGTCAAAGTCCAGATGAACTCTGACCCTCTGGAGCTTCTTGTTGACTGAGAGAACTTCAGTAAGCAGCGTTGGAGAGGATGCTTCGCATTTTCCATTAGAGAAATGAATTTGCCAGTATCCACTCACCATTTCTCCCTTCTTTCGAGCAGACTCCTTTGTCACACCTAGGCCCCAGAATTTGTCATTTGTAGCCTCAACATCCCAGCTGTGAATGCCAGAGTTAAAGCCCTCTGAGCCCAGGATATCATTTTTATTTTCAATCCTCTCTGGATTGTCAGGAAGCTTCTGTTTTTCTCCATATCTCACACTGTTTAGATCTTTAGTCTGGATGTTTTTTGGTTGAGCAGTGTTTGGATCCAGAATCACAGGAGTGTATGAGACCATCTTCTTCATCTTGTTCCAGATGCTGAAGGTCAGGTTGCCCAGGTGTTTGGCCTGGTCTATCAGAGCTCCTGAGTTCAGCTGTGGATCATCCAGCAGGGGGCGCTGCTGGACTCTTTCCACTGCAGCCTTGTAGTTCTGCAGGAATGAGTTTTCTTCAGCTCTCAGCTCCTCCTCTGTGGCTCTGATTGTGTTTGAAAGAGCTGCTATCTCTCTGCTCAGAGCCTCAATCTTCTCCTCCATCATCTGACTCTTCTGCTCCTCTTCCTCCCTCAGAGCAGAGATCCTGGCCTCCTCTTCCTCTTGTAGAAACTGGTGAAGCTTCTGAAACTGCCTCTTAATCAGCCTCTCTGTTTGTTGGGCCTGGAACTTAATGAATTGTGCTGTTTGGTCACAGTTTCCTTTAACTTGTTCAAACAGCTTCAGTTTCTCCTGTAAGGTCTTCAGAGATTTCTGCAGCTCCTCTTTGTGTTCCTGTGCAGCTTCATCGATGGGTCTGAATCTGTGGTTGTTGTGGGTTTTTGAATCACTGCAGACGAGACACACTGGCTGCTGATGGTCCAGACAGAAGAGTTTGAGTTTCTCAGAGTGCAGACTGCACAGAGTCTCTGAACCTCTCTGATCTCTCTCCAGTAAAAAGGCCTCACACAGGTTCTTTAACGCCAAACAAATGGGTGGTTCTTCCCTCAATGACCTACTCTTACAGTATGGACACTCACGTGTTGGTTTCTCCCTCCACCAGCTCTGCACACAGTCTTTACAGAAGCTGTGGCTACATGACAGGACAACAGGATCTTTAAAGATTTCATGGCAGACAGGACAGGCGAGATCCTCCTCTGGTCGGGAAGCCATTTTTCTGTAAGTTAAGTAAAAGATGGCACACAGCCAGTAGCGTCGGCCTGTCAAAAAAAGTTTAAAGTTTTACTTTCACTTTAAGTCGTAACTCGTAGCTCGAACAAAACTCCTGTTTATAATGTGAAATCAGTAAGATTTAGTAGACAGTATTCATGTTCTTCAGTAGTCCCAGACTTACCAATGTTTCCTCCTGTCTGTCAAGGCGGTGAAAAAGACGAGAAATAACGGCGTGTTCACGTCATGTCGGATACAACACCTGCGCAGTGATATCTGGTCGGATGATAGTTCCACTGCCGTAAAGAAGTTTGGACGGGCCTCAGTGCAGACTAGTTCATGCACTCAATTATTCATGCATTATTCATGCATATCTGACAAAAATATCAAAGACAGTAAGAAATTAATAATTTAATTGAGTAGTTTTTTAATAGTGTATTCATATTTTTATAGCTTATTTAGAAAAAGCATATAATTTTGTTTTAAGCCTAGTTCAGACCAAAGATTTGCAAAGAGATGAAACCATTTTACGATGCAGAGAAAAGTTGCAGTGGTGTGAATTGACCATCTGAGCTCAACTCAAGCCAGCTGATGGTTTCACATGCAACTCTGCTGGTCAAATCACTGGCGGGTTGTTTTAGAAGGCTGGTCACCTGTTTCTACAGCCAGTTGGCCTGTAGTGAAGTCTGCTGGTTGAGTCAAAATAACCACAGCTGCATCTCAGCCTCTGCTGGACAGAGCCTTGATCTGTCTGTAGACCAATAACAAGGAAAACAAACACGCACATTTAGATAGAAAACATCAGTAAGGATCATATAATGTATGTTTTTTAATCTGATTAAATGATTCTACAGTCAGAGTTGAAACAATGAAGATATAATGGATAAAGATGAACTAAACTATACTAAAATGTGATCTGCAGTGCCGCCCCACTGAAAGAACTGACACCAAAGTCAGGCTACTCGAATGGTGTCACCAGTGTCAAGGTGATGTGAATTTTAGTTTCTCATGTTTGAGATGTTGCATCACTTCTCTCGTCCACTGAGTCCAGCTCGGTGGATGATGGTTCTTCCAGTTAAGACGGATTAACTGCTGTGCTAATGAAGTGACAAATTATTTTAGTTTGAGTTTAGATCCTGAAAGATTCTTAGTTTCCATTCTTGCTGTGCCAAAAATAGCAGTCGAAGTCTGTGCACAATTTTATGGCAGTCTAATGGTTGTTAAAATATTTCAGTCTGGACTCTGGAACAAAATAGTGGACCAACCGAGAGACAGGCAGACAGCCAGAGACATGATCCAGTGTGGCTAAAAATAATATCAGTCAGTCTCTGTAACGCCACTGCAAAACTGTGAATGGGGAAAAATATCCAGTAACTTCAATCACTGAATCAAACCATTATTTATTCAGGGAAATTGACTGAGCGTTAAGCTCTTTGACAGCAATGCCCTGAAAAGTTGATTGTGAAGCCGGTCATACTGTGGCCTCATAAGAAACAATAGAAAGTTTCTGTACTTTTCTGTGGTGGCATACAAGCAACAAATTGAAAACATCAGAAATATGACTTGTTTTCTCTTATTTCCTGTAGTATTGTGGCTTTATTAAAAAAAATATTGCATTTATTTCTCAAAATATAATGACTTTAATTCAGAAACATTATGATTTTTCTTGTTTGACTTTACTGGATGATGATTTGTTTTGTTTTTAATATATTTCAACTATATTATGGAAATCTTTCCATAGCATGTTCTGGATTTTTTTCCTTTCCCTGACACTGTCCCGATGATACTCCTTCGTGTATTTAAATTCACAAGTTTATTTAACTCCTGCTCAAACTCTCTGGACACATTTGAGCCTGAAACCATTTATTCTTTATTAGTTTTAGAATCATGTTGTAAAAGTAGTTCAAAAAGAATCACAACGTAATCAGTAATGTACAATTTACATTTACAACTGATCCACTATCCCATACACAGTTACATATAACGTCAAAGTCTTCACAATTTCAAAAGAGCAAATGCCTCTGCTTACACAATGGATGACAGTGCACAATTAAATAAAAACAATAAAAGCAAAATACTTAAAATGATCCTCTTCATCCCTCAGAGCAGAGATCCTGGCCTCCTCTTCCTCTTGTAGAAACTGGTGAAGCTTCTTTAACTGCTCCTTAATCTGCCTCTCAGTGTGTCGGGCCTGGACCTTAAGTGCTCTGTTTGTCAGGCTGTGACAGCATGTTACCAAAACTCCAAGAAATTAGCATTTGCCCAAGAAATAAGCTTTTTTTTTCCCACGATGAATCATATTCCCTTGAATCACGCATACAGACATGATACATGGTACCTCCACTATCAGTATCATCATCATCTTCTCCCTAATTTTTTCCTCATTGTTCCCCGATTTACATGTAACCTCTTCTCAGAGCTATAACTCGGTTAAACCACAAACTTTTTCTCACAATAATCAAATTAGTCTTTTTCGGTATCAACATAGTTGATAGGCAGTTAATATGCAGACCAAGTCAAATTCTGATTATTGTTTGCAAGTCTTTCCTGTCGTTTTCTGTCAGTACAAAACAGTAAAGTCTGTTCATTTCTTGTGCACAAACTGTGGAAACAGTAACAGTATACCATGAAGATCAATATATATTGCATACTATTTGCAATTAGAATGGAGTATAAAATTGGGACATTATATGGCACAATATTGACAAAACAAAATAAGTAAAAAAAAAAACAAAAAAAACCATACACCGATGTTTGACCTTGACAGGGTTTCCTGTTTGAAACCTGTGGCAAACAACTCAAATTGATTTAAAGCCTAACCCTCAGCAATACACCTGCACGAGAAGGGACTGTGTGTAGTCCCTGTGTGTTGACAATGACTGTCACTGGTAATATCTTCCCTGGCAGTTTACTCAGGGTGGCAATGTATGGAAACAGCCTCTCCAAGTGAGGATTAGAATATATGCAGTTCACATAACCTGGTCGAAATTAATATATACAAACGCTTGAAGATCCACTCATTACAAAAAGTGTATGTCATATAAAAACTAAAGTGATGGTCAAAGTTGTCACAGTGAAATTTAAGGTGTGTTGATGTTAGATAGTTTGATTTTTAGAATCACATCTGTCACACATAATCACAAATGTGCAGTTTATATGTTCCATTTTCTCCTACACAGTAATTAACAGTAAATTTGAAATGATCCTATATGTAAAGTAAAATCTCCACGGTTTAAAATAAAGAAATACATAAACAGTTGAGAATAAGATTTAAACTCTAAAGAATTAAAACTAGCATTTGCCTAAGAAATAAGCTTAAAAATATATTATCATTTCTTAATATGAATCATATTCCCTTAAATCTGATCATGATATGTGGTATCTCCACCATCAGTATATCATCATCTTTTTCCCGTTATTAAGCAATTTAAATGTGTCCTCTTCTGTGAGATATAGCTCAGTTAAGCCACAAACTTTTTTCTCATAATTATCAAATTTAGTCTTCTTTTAGTATCAACATAGTTGACATACATAAATACAACATAATTTTCTATTAATAGAAAAAGGGGGGTGGCGGGGGGGGGGCGAGGCGGAAGGGGTTGGGGGCGAGGCGGAAGGGGTTGGGGGTGGGGGCGGAAGGGGGTGGGGGGGGGTTGGCAAGGCGGTAAAGAGTGGGTGGTGGTGGGGGGCCAGTGCAGGGGGCACCAGCAAATATCTTGCCTAGGGTGCCAAATTGGTCAGGCACGATCCTGGCCGGATTGGACCCTTTGGAAGGCCGGTTCTGGCCCCTGGGCTGTATGTTTGACACACCTGCTGTGTATGAAGAGACTGTGTGTTGTCCCTGTGTGTTGACAGTGACTGTTGATGGTAATATCTTCCCTGGGAGTTCACTCAGGGTGGCAATGTATGGAAACAGCCTGTCAGTGAAGGTGTGTGTGAAGGTGTGTATGTGTGTGTTAGTATCAAGGTCATAGAATGACAGTTTCCCTTTCTCAAAGTCCAGATGAACTCTGATTCTCTGGAGCTTCTTCCTCACTGGGAGAACTTTCTCTGGCAGTGGTGGGGAGGCTGCCATGTATTTTCCATCAAGAAAATAAATTTCCCAGAATCCAGTTGATATTTTTCCCTTTCTCCCTTTCTCAGACTCCTTCATCACACCTAGGGCCCAGGTATTGTCATACCTAACTTCAAAGTCCCAGTGGTGACTCCCAGAGTTAAAGCTCTCTGAGCCCAGGACAGCAATGTCATAATCAAACCGCTCTGGATTGTCAGGAAGCATCCGCTTATCTCCAAATCTCACACTGGTTAGATCTTCAGACAGGATGTATTCAGGGCGAGCAGTGTTTGGATCCAGAATCAAAGGAGTGTAGGAGACCATGTCCTTCATCTTGTTCCAGATGTTGAAGGTCAGGTTGCCCAGGTGTTTGGCCTGGTCTATCAGAGCTCCTGAGGGCAGCTGTGGATCATCCAGCAGGGGGCGCTGCTGGACTCTTTCCACTGCAGCCTTGTAGTTCTGCAGGAATGAGATGTCTTCAGCTCTCAGCTCCTCCTCTGTGGCTCTGATTGTGTCTGAAAGAGCTGCTATCTCTCTGCTCAGAGCCTCAATCTTCTCCTTCATCACCTGACTCTTCTGCTCCTCTTCATCCCTCAGAGCAGAGATCCTGGCCTCCTCTTCCTCTTGTAGAAACTGGTGAAGCTTTTTAAACTGCTCCTTAATCTGCCTCTCTGTGTGTCGGGCCTGGACCTTAATGTGCTCTGCTGTTTGGTCACAGTTTCCTTTAACTTGTTCAAACAGCTTCAGTTTCTCCTGTAAGGTTTTCAGGGATTTCTGCAGCTCCTCTTTGTGTTCCTTTGCAGCTTCATCGATGGGTCTGAATCTGTGGTTGTTGTGTCTCTTTGAATCTCTGCAGACGAGACACACTGGCTGCTGATGGTCCATACAGAAGAGTCTGAGTTTCTCAGAGTGCAGACTGCAGGAGAGGATAGTCTCTGAACCTCTCTGATCTCTCTCCAGTAAAAAGGCCTCACACAGGTTCTTTAACACCAGGTTACGAGGTGTATCACTAAACAAATGTCTTTCTTTACAAATCGGACACTGGTGTATGTGTTTTTCTCTCCACCAGCTCTGCACGCAGTCTTTACAGAAGCTGTGGCTACATGACAGAACAACAGGATCTTTAAAGATCTCAAAGCAGACAGAACAGGAGAGATCCCTTTCTGACTGAGAGGACATGTTTTGCCTCTGAGTGAAGCTGAAAACACAGAAGGCAGAACAATGAAAGCAGTCAGTCAACTGAGGAATTTCCCTTACAGTTACTTTCACTTTGAGTCGCAGTTCCTCTAAATCTTACTTGTACAATGTAGAATCAGCAGCAGGTTGAAGTGGCAGTATTCCAGTACTCCGGTAATCCCAGTGTTGCCAGAATTTCTTCGACTCAGTGGCTTCTCCCCGTGGAGTTTTATCTGGTAGTAAATATTGAACACGCAAGACACAAACTGCAGCAGTGTCACACAGCTCATATCATTTGACATTCACATCTGAGGAATGAGGAACATACTTGGGGCATACGCCCATCAGGTGCATCCAACCACATCTTAAGTGAACCCATGTTATATAAAGGTGTTGTGGCAAAAGTAGGTGTTTATTCCTCGTTGAACTGTGTGACAATACCGTAACACTTGCATGGGAGGGAGGCAGGTGTTTGTGTAAAAACTTTCTTTTTATACCTGCACAGATTGTAGATTCTAACATATGCACAACAGTAAAATTACATATGCATTTCTTTGCCATTGTTAGTTTTGTCCTTTTGCTGTTTGTCTTTTTGTGATTATTTTGTTCAATAAATATTAATATTCTAGTTATTACTGTTTTTAGGGTCTATACTTTATTCTACAACATAAAATACATCAGTAAATAGCCCACTTGTGAATTTTAAAGCTTTTAGGTGTTTCAAAAAAAGGTGGATTGTCACTAAATGAATGGAAAAAGAAAAAAGCGATCCACACACCAAAAGAACTCCCGTATGCAATTTTATTATGCGTGACGTTTCGAGCGTGATGCTCTTCCTCAGACTGCAGTCTGAGCAGAGTGACCGTCCTCTACTGACCAATCAGACTGCTGTGTTCACAGCTCCATCTTTTAGTACCAGATCTGTGTGCTAGGTACCCCAACAGGGGGGGGACCAAAAATGGGGACAGTATGAAACGGTTCCATCCACAACTTTTCACAGTGTAAATGAAAAAAAAAAGCGAACTGAACTGTACTGTACTGCTCGGTGGAAACGGGGCTTATAGCTCTTCTTGGCTCTGTTTAACCTTGTTGTTCCTGCCTGCTTCTGTTTTGCCGCATTAGCCCCTTTTTTGTCAGTTTAGCACTCATCGCAGTCTGGGTTTGATTGACCCTGGTCCTGGATGATCTGCCTGTCTCTGTTTAGTTCTGTTTGCCTCAGTTTAGATGTTTTTGGCCTTGTCCCTTAATCCCTGTTAGTCCTGCACGGCTCTTCCAAGCTCTGAACAGCTCTGCCTGAATCACTTTATCCCTCTTTTAGACCTCCCTGAGTCTGTTTAGCCCCGTTGGTCCTGCTAGCTTTGTGTAATCTCTATGGACTGCCTGGCTTCGTTTAACACCTTTGCTTGGCTCGGTTTAGCCCAGTTTGGCCCTGCTCAGTTCTGTGGTCACATTCTTCTGAGCTTGGCACTGAAAAGCTGGAGAATGAGAGGAGGAGGAGGAATCCCTGATGTTCCTATTGGCCCAGGAGTTTTTCAGGCTCCCTCTGACTGGCTGGCAGAGCGTGAGCAGGGAATCCCTCAGGGCTCTCTCTGTCTTTGTCTCAGATTAAAAACACAAACAGTCCAGTCAGGCCTCATTGCTCCAGGTAGTCCTCCAGTATGCTGAAGACCAGGACTGAATTCACAGCCCAGTCTGCAGGAAGCGAGTAGTGCAGCTGCTGTTTTTCAAGACCACAAATCTCCCTAAATACTGCCAGTCAGCTGCTACATGGTCTGCAGCTGCAACATAGAAGGTACCTGTAATATTTAGCAAAGCAGGGTGAATTCACTGGTCAGCAGAGTCAGAAAGAAAAACAGAGGTGAATGAGCGTAGCTGCTTTTTTTCTGTCGGGCAGAGTGCATTGGGAGACTTATCAGCGTTCCCTTCAGCGGCGTGTTGGAGCAAAGTCAGGAGTTGAGGAAACCTGCTGAGTTTATGTTGCAGAGGGTGGAGAAGGAGAGCCGGCAACAGGACGAATCAGGAGGGAAGAGTGGAGGAAAACAACAGAGCTGAAAACAAAGAGTCCTCAGCTGCAGAGAAGAAAGGTGAGTTTTGTTGAGAGTTTAGAAAGATTGAAAAGTTTTAAAGTGATGAAAGTGAGAAAAATACCTTGCAGTGAGAGATAGAAGAAAAGAAGTGAGCTGATGTTTCTCAGCAGGAATGGGTTGAAAGTCTAGACAGTTAAATTGCAGTGGGCTGTGGAGAGCCGGCAGAGCAGAGCGGCGGCAGGAGCGACTGTGGGCGGGGAGAGAGGAAGTGTGGTCGACAGGAGAGGAATTTAAAGCCCCATTGTTCTTTCTGGAAGGGCAGAGACAGAGAGAGACGAGGAGCGGAGGAGTCGAACCCGCTGACAGGCAGACGCTGGACAACATGGACGTGAGCTCTGCCATGGAGAAGGTAGGACAGAAACATTTACGTCTTTAAAGCTGGAAGTCTTATTCATAAATACTTGCAGATTAACCACAGTAACGAGGAGGTCAAGGGTCAGGGGGTCACTTAGTCTGATGTGATGTCTTGTGTTGATGAAGGTTAAGAGAAAATCTTGTCTTGGAATAAGGAAGTTTTACTGGGTTTAAATTAAATTAACTTTATTGCCCTTTGATATATGTATAAATGCACAAACATGTAGGGTCATAAAATGAAAGTCTGAAGAGGATTTACCCAAAAGCTCCCAGAAAGTTCTCACATTTCTGCTCTGTTTTTCTGTGTCCATGAAGCTACTCTGATAATTAGACTGAATGGCTGTTTGTTTCACTCCATTATTCAGCTGGCATTGAGTTTATGTTGATTAATTTCAGTTTGAGAGGTGGGGTTATTTTGTTTCTTTTGCCATAACAAATTGGGTGATCAATCTGTCCTGTCAATGTCATTTTCAATCAGTAAGTTAACTTAATGTTTTTATTTGTAAACTATTTTTTACTTAGGAGTTATTATCTCTATAGGTTGATTTATTACAAACTCTACAGCTGTGTTTTTTTGATGCAGTTTATAGGCATGTACAGTAAGAACAGAATACCAGACTCAAACATGACGCCCGCTGACTTGAAAAAAAATTGCCCACCGAGTGCATTAGCCAGGAACGTTTTTCAGCACTGGGTTTAGCCTCTGTGTTGCACGTCCCACTATACCAGGGGAAGGCAACCTGCGGCTGAGGAGCCACATGCGGCTCTTTAAACCCTCTCCAGTGGCTCCCTGTGGCTTTGACATAAAATTATCTGGAAATGAAACAGTTATTTTTTTAACATTCAGATTTTCATTTGTCATTATTGTAGGCCTGAAGTGATTTTTACGTTCTACAACTGTAAAAATGTGCAGCCTATACACAGAATTTAAAAAAACATTTAACGTTTCATCAACTAAAATGTGCGTCATACGTCTTTTCCTCTAAATTTTGCTGAACTTCAGCAGCAGTGGTGAGCCTGGAGTCTCTTTAGCAAAGCTGGCTATGGATTCTCAATTCTTGGAGGGAAATAGAGTGTAGACAGATTCATTTGCTTTCACCACAAACACTGCAAAGTTAAAGTACTAAATAATTATAAATATCCCACTGAAGAGTCACCGCCTTGTAGTAAATGATATTAATGAATGCTCATTTAGACCTACTCATAATGTTGATCGGCTAATTTAGACTTGATATGCTGTTACCTTTATTCAAATATTTTTTTGTGGTCTATTTTATATTATATCTAATTCTATTTATTATTATATTTTATAATTTTTGGCCAATAAAGGCTCTTTTAATACTAAAGGTTGCCAACCCCTGCACCATGCCAAACCTGTCACCTACAAATTGTTATGTATTTTACTAAATTACATTCATAATTACGTTCACAGACAACATTTCATCATAGGGAGGTGGTCAGGGTGGATGACAGACATACATAGTGCAGGACAGTGACACCAGAACTTTGGGTTTGCATCCAGACTCCTGTAATATAATGTGTTCACACTACAAGCGACAACATAACAGCATGACATCACAGAGTTGCCGTTGAAGTGTGGCTCAAGTGATTGTTGACGTAGTTACATTGTCCCAGGCTTGTGTGTCTGTTTGCAATAAAGCACCTCGACTGAACGTCATCTAAAGTTAATATTTAGTCAAAAATATCCATGCTTTTGATCAGTGTCTAACCCCCATGTTAACATCACATTTCACTGCTCCATTGCATCCCCATGTGCAATGCAGTGCACAGAAAGCTAGCATGGTGCCAGCTAACTAAGCTCAATAACACAATACCACAGCTAGAAAGACAACTTTTATTTGTAGCACATCACTTGTCCACAGCGACATGTTTCAGGCATCAGTTTGTAGCTTAATGTCACCACCCTCCATTGAAAATGATGTTTAGCCTGTTGCTGTGTTACTCATAGCGTGTACATAGCATATGGTTTAGGCAAGAAAAGCATTTCGGTTGAGGTCAGGGAAAGATCATGAATTCTGTTAAATGCTTTTAGAAAAGGCAATTATATGATAATATTATAGTCACTACGAATATATTGTGTATTGCAAGATTGCCTTTTCTGTCAGTGAACATTTTGCTGATTCATTTACTATCAATATTTTTGCGATTTGCTAGGTACATTTATTAGCAACATTTCCTCATTATGTTAATAGAAAACATAATTCCCTCAGCATTGAATTTAAGTCGTAAACAAACATAATTTCTTGGGGACAGAACTGACTGTACTTGTCCATCAGACCCTAACCTTTACATTCAGATGACGTCCACGTCGTGTAGATAAAAATAGCTTTTCTGTACTGTGGGAAAGGTTGAAATATAAATACATAGAGTAATTATAACCAACCTTGTTTGCAGCTGGAGTTGACTCCATTCTTAACCTGCATACTAAGCTGTGATTGATTGGTTATTTTTCTAATCTGGGAAAAAGGCATCAACGACCTCAACTTCCAAATTGCTGAGAAGATATAAGATGCAGTCAGCAAATCAGAGGTCTTAACAAGGTCATTCATCAGATTTTCATGATATCAGACCATATAATTTCTTTAGTTTTTAATCTAAAAAACACAACAATGACAGGAATGAGTTAAATTCTGCTGTTGCCTCTCTGCATATATTTTTCAGTGTAGTCCAGCTTCAGGGGACTCACAGGAAATTATGTGTGCGTGTATTCAACGTGATGTGGTTGACAGAGTTCTGTGTCGGGTGCCATTTGTTATCTCTTCTTCAGTATTCATTGAAACAACATAACTTCATAACTCCTCTCAGTCCGAGGTTTGTTTGTCGGCACTGATACATGAGTTGCTCTGAACCTTGAGAAACTTTGCAGACAAAGCAAAAAGTGATGTTCTGACAAAACTACTACATTCATTATGCTCCTCTCGACTCAAAGAACTAAAATTCAAAAAGTACGTCTTTGCTGTCAAATTAATTTCTATTGCACAGCTGACATTAACTACTTAGCTGCCAAATTAAGTAGCTGATGTTGACGACACCGTATTAGTTGGAGTCGATAAGTCTAAAGAAAGTCTGCTAACAAAATGCATTGCTAGAGAGGAACGTGCAACAGTTAACTGAGTGATAGTGTGATGGCAGCACTTGAGGGACTACTTGACCCTGAAAAACAGTTGACTTCTTATCAACATGCTGATTTTTATACATCATATCGGTTCTCTGACCTGCCACAGACTCTGTTCTCTACAGTTAAAGACATTTAAAAGTCAGTTTGGACAAATCTCTCAGGCTTGTTCTCATCCAGTCCGGATCACACAGCTGGAGACTTCTAATTCAGTCAGTGAATATAATCCATGACCACGAGGACCTGATCCCCCCGCTGGGTCTGTTCTGGCAGCCATTGTCCCCCACAGATCCGTCCTGAAATTCATCCTCCGTTTGTCTGTCCAGAGGTCACATCAGTCTGAGGCCGATGACCTGACGGATCAGTGTCACCTGTCAGGGGGTTTGATCCCCCCCCCCCCTGCTCTTCTTTGTATACAGGAGCTGGAAAAACTGCCATCACCAGGATGGAAATAACCTCCAACACACACACACACACACACACACACAATGGGTTTTAGGATTGTAGGGAGGTGCAGTATCTCTGTAACCAAAATACAAACCAAAGGGAACAGTCAAAAATGTTGATAATAGTTTCCCGAGGCCTGTTTTATTCAACCAACAGTCCAAACTATTAAACTATATTGAATTTGCCGTAGGGGTGGCACGGTGGTGTGGTGGTTAGCACTGTTGCCTCACAGCAAGAGGGTTCCTGGTTTGAACCTGGGTGTGGGAGCCCTTCTGTGCGGAGTCTGCATTTTCTCCCTGTGTCAGCGTGAGTTTTCTCCAGGTACTCCGACTTCCTCCTACAGTCCAAAGCCATGCAGATTGGAGATAGGTTAATTGGTGACTCTAAATTGTCCGTAGGTGTGAATGTGAGTGTGAATGGTTGTCTGTCTCTGTTGTGTCAGCCCTGCAATAGTCTGGTGACCTGTCCAGGGTGTACCCCGCCTCTCACCCAATGTCAGCTGGGATAGGCTCCAGCCCCCCCACGACCCTCAAGAGGATAAGCAGTTAGAAAATGGATGGATGGATGCAGAATCAGTAACATCTTTTAAATCTCTTCTTAAAACCCATTTTTACAGACTTGCCTTTATGTGATGTCGTCTTTTTATCTTTTTATTTATTCTTTTTATTTATTTTATTCTATTCCTTTTAATTGTTTATTCTTTGTTATTCTGTTGTCAGTATGCAATGTTGTGTTTTTATCCTTCTATTCGTTTGTTTCTAGTATTTAGAAATAATAGTTTTATTGCCTTTATTGTTCTTATCTCTTTTAACATTCTGTCTTATCATTCTGTCTGTGTTTTGTTTAACTTTACCTCAATTTGAGCTTAATTTTGTCCTGCTTTTGTTTGCCCTCACTGTTTTGACTCTCTTGCTATAGATATTACTGCGTTTGCTTTGTTTGTCAAAGCACTTTGTAAACTTTTGTTTTTAAAGGTGCTATATAAATAAAGTTATTATTATTATTATGAATTTGCCGTCACAGAGGACTGAGAAAAGCAGCTAATTCTCACAAATTACTATGTTTATAGATTAGTTGTCAACTATTTGATGAATCGTTAGCTAATTTCATTATCAATTCATTGGTTTGAGTGATTTTTTTTTTTTTTTAAAGAAAAAACAATTCTCTAATTCCAGCTTCTTAAATGTGAATATTTTCAGGTTTCTTTACTCCTCTCTGACAGTAAACTGAATATCTTTGGGTTGTGGACAAAATAAGACACATGAGGACATCTTTTTGGGCTTTGGGAATTGACTTTTTCTAATCAATTAATGGAGAAATTAATGAACAATGAAAATATTTTTAAAAGATTAAAAATATCAGTTTAATTGAAAATAGTCTCACTTCGAAGTCGTCGAAATCCTGCACTTGGG